ACCTCGGTATATCGACTTATACAGAAACATCACTACCTCTATATACCGACATATACAGTGATATCACTACCTCTATATACTGACTTATACAGTGACATCTCTACCTCTGTATACCAACGTATACAGTAACATCACCACCTCTATATACCGGCATATACAGTGATATCACTACATCTATATACCGACATATACAGTGACATCACTACCTCGGTATATTGACTTATACAGAAACATCACTACCTCTATATACCAACATATTCAGTGACATCACTACCTCTATATATCGAGAAATAGTGACATCACAACCTTCTATGTGTATAGTGTCATTGATGTATAAAGTGAAATCAATTCTTTACACTGACATATATACCGGGACATCTCTACCTCTACATACAAATGTATACAGTTACATCACTACCTCTATATAACACCCATTATAGTGACATCACTACCTCTGCAGACCGTCATATACAGTTACATCACTACCTCTATATAACACCCATTATAGTGACATCACTACCTCTGCAGACCGTCATATACAGTGACATCACTATCTCTATATAACACCCATTATAGTGACATCACTACCTCTGCAGACCGTCATATACAGTGACATCACTACCTCTGTATCTGAATGTCAGTGTATAGAGTGACATCAATATCTCCATATACTGACATAGACAGTTACATTGCTAACGCCATATCCTGATGTAATATGTATATAGACATCAATACTTCTAAACACTGACACATACAGTGACATCAATTCCTCTGTATACTGACATGTAGAGTGGCATCACTATCTCTTTACACCAATGTATACAATGACATCAATACCACTTTGCTGATGTATACATATTCACTGGGAAATACAGAATATAGACATTGCATTGTAAAACCATGGAATTTGTAAGTTATATTGGTTTGTGTTGCTTTATTTTACTGAGAATACTCGGTTGTTGTATGTCATCAATTCACCAGCTATAGACATAAGTAATGATTATCAATGTATAATCAACACCAGAATGTTTTGTATGATTGCTCAAATCACATTAGATTTCCTGTCCTAAAGGAGAATTATTATCATACCTGGTTATCAAGCCAGAAGTTACCACAAAAATATTCAATCTCCTGAAGTACAGCTAATACACTACATCAAGTTATAGATATGCAAGTAAATATCTCCTTACTAAAGAAACATTCACCTGTCGTCAGCAGATCTGATTTTTGTCAGTAAGCATTAATAATGGTTAACAGCAGGGTGAGTTTGTAAATAGGATAATATCCAGATGACGGAGAAAATCTGTGATCATAAAAAGTGAATTAAATCACTTGTTCAAAGGGACTGAATTACATGGTATATAAACACAAACATATTGAGTAGTCCCCCTAACCGCCCCTTCAAACTTTTACACTGTAATGATTTAAAAAGAAAGTGCTCCTGGGTGTTAATATGGTAAAAAAAAAAATGAAAAAAGTATACAATTTGTTTGTAACTGATTTACAGGGCATTAAAATTACTGAGAGAGACAGCAACACCTGATATCAGGAATATATCACAAAGGAGAAAAATCATCATATTTGGCATACACAAAGGGATACTGTGAAATACATTAATGGGAAATAAAAACACATCAGATATGGCATATACTATGGGGAATAACTCCATATTAGATATGGCATATACTAAGGGGAATAACTCCATATTAGATATGGCATACACTAAGGGGCAGTTACTTCACATTAGATACAGCATATACTAAGTGGAAAAATTCCATAGCAGATAAGACATATACTAAGGGGAATAATTCCATATTAGATATGACATATACTAAGGGGTATTAAGAGAAATAACTCCCCATTAAAAATTTTCTGTTTTCATACTATCCAGTGGAAACTGAACTCAAATGGAAATAATTTGAGCATGTAATGCATGAAAATACCAAAAAAGCTTTTATACATTGTAAAGATCTTTAAATGACATTTTAATATTTCTGTATTGCAAGTTGAAAGCTGACATGGCTCTATACAACTGTCCTACTATACACTCAGACTGGAAGATGATGTGGCTGTGTACAACTGTCCTACTATACATTCTGACTGACAGTAGATGTGGCTGTGTACAACTGTCCTACTATACATTCAGACTGACAGTAGATGTGGCTGTGTACAACTGTCCTACTATACATTCAGACTGACAGTAGATGTGGCTGTGTACAACTGTCCTACTATACATTCAGACTGACAGTAGATGTGGCTGTGTACAACTGTCCTACTATACATTCAGACTTGAAGATGATGTGGCTGTGTACAACTGTCCTACTATACATTCTGACTGACAGTAGATGTGGCTGTGTACAACTGTCCTACTATACATTCAGACTTGAAGATGATGTGGCTGTGTACAACTGTCCTACTATACATTCAGACTGACAGTAGATGTGGCTGTGTACAACTGTCTACTATACATTCAGACTGACAGTAGACGTGGCTGTGTACAACTGTCTTCTATACATTCTGACTGACAGTAGATGTGGCTGTGTACAACTGTCTACTATACATTCAGACTGGAAGATGATGTGGCTGTGTACAACTGTCCTACTATACATTCTGACTGACAGTAGATGTGGCTGTGTACAACTGTCTACTATACATTCAGACTGACAGTAGACGTGGCTGTGTACAACTGTCTACTATACATTCTGACTGACAGTAGATGTGGCTGTGTACAACTGTCTACTATACATTCAGACTGACAGTAGATGTGGCTGTGTACAACTGTCTACTATACATTCTGACTGACAGTAGATGTGGCTGTGTACAACTGTCTACTATACATTCTGACTGACAGTAGATGTTGCTGTGTACAACTGTCTACTATACATTCAGACTGACAGTAGATGTGGCTGTGTACAACTGTCTTCTATACATTCAGACTGACAGTAGATGTGGCTGTGTACAACTGTCTACTATACATTCAGACTGACAGTAGATGTGGCTGTGTACAACTGTCCTACTATACATTCAGACTGACAGTAGATGTGGCTGTGTACAACTGTCCTACTATACATTCAGACTGACAGTAGATGTGGCTGTGTACAACTGTCCTACTTTACACTCAGACTGACAGTAGATGTGGCTGTGTACAACTGTCCTACTATACATTCAGACTGACAGTAGATGTGGCTGTGTACAACTGTCTACTATACATTCAGACTGACAGTAGATGTGGCTGTGTACAACTGTCTACTATACATTCTGACTGACAGTAGATGTGGCTGTGTACAACTGTCCTACTATACACTCAGACTGACAGTAGATGTGGCTGTGTACAACTGTCCTACTATACATTCAGACTGACAGTAGATGTGGCTGTGTACAACTGTCCTACTATACATTCAGACTGACAGTAGATGTGGCTGTGTACAACTGTCTACTATACATTCTGACTGACAGTAGATGTGGCTGTGTACAAATGTCTACTATACATTCAGACTGACAGTAGATGTGGCTGTGTACAACTGTCCTACTATACATTCAGACTGACAGTAGATGTGGCTGTGTACAACTGTCCTACTATACATTCAGACTGACAGTAGATGTGGCTGTGTACAACTGTCCTACTATACATTCAGACTGACAGTAGATGTGGCTGTGTACAACTGTCTACTATACATTCAGACTGACAGTAGATGTGGCTGTGTACAACTGTCCTACTATACATTCAGACGGACAGTAGATGTTGCTGTGTACAACTGTCTACTATACATTCAGACTGACAGTAGATGTGGCTGTGTACAACTGTTCTACTCTACATTCAGACTGACAGTAGATGTGGCTGTGTACAACTGTCCTACTATACACTCAGACTGACAGTAGATGTGGCTGTGTACAACTGTCCTACTATACATTCAGACTGACAGTAGATGTGGCTGTGTACAACTGTCCTACTATACATTCAGACTGACAGTAGATGTGGCTGTGTACAACTGTTCTACTATACATTCAGACTGACAGTAGATGTGGCTGTGTACAACTGTCCTAATATACATTCAGACTGACAGTAGATGTGGCTGTGTACAACTGTCCTACTATACCTTCAGACTGACAGTAGATGTGGCTGTGTACAACTGTCTTCTTTACATTCAGACTGGAAGATGATGTGGCTGTGTACAACTGTCCTACTTACATTCAGACTGACAGTAGATGTGGCTGTGTACAACTGTCTTCTTTACATTCAGACTGGAAGATGATGTGGCTGTGTACAACTGTCCTACTTACATTCAGACTGACAGTAGATGTGGCTGTGTACAACTGTCCTACTATACATTCAGACTGACAGTAGATGTGGCTGTGTACAACTGTCCTACTATACATTCAGACTGACAGTAGATGTGGCTGTGTACAACTGTCCTACTATACATTCAGACGGACAGTAGATGTTGCTGTGTACAACTGTCCTACTTACATTCAGACTGACAGTAGATGTGGCTGTGTACAACTGTCTTCTTTACATTCAGACTGGAAGATGATGTGGCTGTGTACAACTGTCCTACTTACATTCAGACTGACAGTAGATGTGGCTGTGTACAACTGTCCTACTATACACTCAGACTGACAGTAGATGTGGCTGTGTACAACTGTCCTACTATACATTCAGACGGACAGTAGATGTGGCTGTGTACAACTGTCTTCTTTACATTCAGACTGGAAGATGATGTGGCTGTGTACAACTGTCCTACTATACATTCAGACTGACAGTAGATGTGGCTGTGTACAACTGTCCTACTATACATTCAGACTGACAGTAGATGTGGCTGTGTACAACTGTCCTACTATACATTCAGACTGACAGTAGATGTGGCTGTGTACAACTGTCCTACTATACATTCAGACGGACAGTAGATGTGGCTGTGTACAACTGTCCTACTTTACACTCAGACTGACAGCAGATGTGGCTGTGCACAACTGTCCTACTATACATTCAGACTGGAAGATGATGTGGCTGTGTACAACTGTCCTACTATACTCTCATACACTCAGATTGACAGTGATACTGTTGCTGCTTTCAGCTACTTTAATCCTCATGTATATGTTACAGCTGCTATAGTTGTAGCCTTAATGTGTCTATGGATTGATATGCTTCCCACGGTACTAAATCTTCCGTCACTGACAATCTGTAGAATTCCTGCTGTTTGATCATTAGATCCAGGTGGTCCTTAATCTCTTTTGTGTCATTCCATGCTAGTTTTCATCAGCTGCTGTAGTCGGCTCAGTCTTTCATCAATTTCTGAGATTTCCACTGATCGGTCAAAATAGTCACTATCCTCTCCTGAAATGAAGTAATGTAATCATATTTATCTTCCAAAAAAGGAAAAAAAAGATTTGACCATTTGATAATTTCTTTTAGCCTATGACGACTACCAGGTTATTTAGTGAGCCCAAGTACATTATATGATGTGGTGTCATTGGCAGATAATGGAATGTCATCCCACTAGCTGTATGCCATATTTGTCTAAATAGTTGGCTGTTTAAAATTTATTTCCTTTTTTTTTTCATTTTAGCCCACCACAAGCTCACCTCTTAGAAATATTAAGACTTGTTTCCTAAATCGCATATGAAATAGAAACTTACATTTGTGAGATCCTGTAAATATCATTGTACAGGAAATATGCCAGTTTTGTTCCATATTTATCTTGTACTTTAAGAAGGATAGTTTACTTCTATGACAGATGATTCTATCTACAACAGACTGATTAGGAGTCTGATGTTGTGATATTTTTGGTATAGTCCAGGGTTTTACACTTACAGTTAACACCCATTGATGACCAAATATAACTTTCTTGTGAAAGTTTTGTGTACATTAATTTTCTATCAGTCATCTTACCACTCTCTGCAGGGAAGTTTTCTTTGTTCCTTAGTGGCCGTTTCCTCTTGGTTTGGTAATGGTTGTCAGGAGTACTTGACACAGGAGTGAACAGGTCAAGGTCAAATATGATAACAGGAATTTTACATTTCAGACTCACAAAGCCTGACCTTCAGTCTAACTCATCCTACTTCAATATCAGTGTAACACAGCCTACTTGACCTTCAGTCTGACTCATCCTACTTCAATATCAGTGTAACACAGCCTACTTGACCTTCAGTCTGACTCATCCTACTTCAATATCAGTGTAACACAGCCTACTTGACCTTCAGTCTGACTCACCCTACTTCAATTTCAGTCTAACACAGCCTACTTGACTTTCTGTCTGACTCACCCTACTTCAATATCAGTGTAACACAGCCTACTTGACCTTCAGTCTGACTCATCCTACTTCAATATCAGTGTAACACAGCCTACTTGACCTTCAGTCTGACTCACCCTACTTCAATTTCAGTCTAACACAGCCTACTTGACTTTCTGTCTGACTCACCCTACTTCAATTTCAGTCTAACACAGCCTACTTGTCTTCCAGTTCGACTCACCCTACTTCAATTTCAGTCTAACACAGCCTACTTGTCTTCCAGTTCGACTCACCCTACTTCAATTTCAGTCTAACACAGCCTACTTGTCTTCCAGTCTGACTCATCCTACTTTGATTTCAGTCTAACACAGCCTACTTGACTTTCTGTCTGACTCACCCTACTTCAATTTCAGTCTAACACAGCCTACTTGACTTTCTGTCTGACTCACCCTACTTCAATTTCAGTCTAACACAGCCTACTTGTCTTCCAGTTTGACTCACCCTACTTGACTTTTAGTCTGACTCACCTTATGTAACTTTCAGTCAGACTAATCCACTTAAATTTCAGTCAGACTTTCCCTACTTAAATTTCAGTCTGACTCATCCTACTTGACCTCCAGTCAGGCTCACCATACATAACCTTCAATTAGACTCAGCTTACTTAACTTTCAGTCAGACATAACATACTTAACTTTCAGTTAGCCTCATCCTACTTAACATTCAGTTAGCCTCATCCTACTTAACTTTCAGTCAGACATAACATACTTAACTTTCAGTTAGCCTCATCCTGCTTAACTTTCAGTCAGACATAACATACTTAACTTTCAGTTAGCCTCATCCTACTTAACTTTCAGTCAGACATAACATACTTAACTTTCAGTTAGCCTCATCCTACTTAACTTTCAGTCAGACATAACATACTTAACTTTCAGTTAGCCTCATCCTGCTTAACTTTCAGTCAGACATAACATACTTAACTTTCAGTTAGCCTCATCCTACTTAACTTTCAGTCAGACATAACATACTTAACTTTCAGTTAGCCTCATCCTACTGAACTTTCAGTTAGACTCAGCTTACATAACATTCAGTTAGCCTCATCCTACTTAACTTTCAGTCAGACATAACATACTTAACTTTCAGTTAGCCTCATCCTACTTAACTTTCAGTCAGACATAACATACTTAACTTTCAGTTAGCCTCATCCTACTTAACTTTCAGTTAGACTCAGCTTACATAACATTCAGTTAGCCTCATCCTACTTAACTTTCAGTTAGACTCAGCTTACATAACATTCAGTTAGCCTCATCCTACTTAACTTTCAGTTAGACTCAGCTTACATAACATTCAGTTAGCCTCATCCTACTTAACTTTCAGTCAGACATAACATACTTAACTTTCAGTTAGCCTCATCCTACTTAACTTTCAGTCAGACATAACATACTTAACTTTCAGTTAGCCTCATCCTACTTAACTTTCAGTCAGACATAACATACTTAACTTTCAGTTAGCCTCATCCTACTTAACTTTCAGTCAGACATAACATACTTAAATTTCAGTTTGCCTCATCCTACTTAACTTTCAGTCAGACATAACATACTTAACTTTCAGTTAGCCTCATCCTACTTAACATTCAGTCAGACATAACATACTTAACTTTCAGTTAGCCTCATCCTACTTAACTTTCAGTCAGACATAACATACTTAACTTTCAGTTAGCCTCATCCTACTTAACTTTCAGTTAGACTCAGCTTACATAACATTCAGTTAGCCTCATCCTACTTAACTTTCAGTCAGACATAACATACTTAACTTTCAGTTAGCCTCATCCTACTTAACTTTCAGTCAGACATAACATACTTAACTTTCAGTTAGCCTCATCCTACTTAACTTTCAGTTAGACTCAGCTTACATAACATTCAGTTAGCCTCATCCTACTTAACATTCAGTCAGACTCATCCAATTAGACTTAGCCTACCTTAATTTCAATCAGACTCAGCTTACATAACATTCAGTTAGCCTCATCCTACTTAACATTCAGTCAGACTCATCCAATTAGACTTAGCCTACCTTAATTTCAATCAGACTCAGCTTACATAACATTCAGTTAGCCTCATCCTACTTAACATTCAGTCAGACTCATCCAATTAGACTCAGCCTACCCTTAATTTCAATCAGACTCAGCTTACATAACATTCAGTTAGCCTCATCCTACTTAACATTCAGTCAGACTCATCCAATTAGACTTAGCCTACCTTAATTTCAATCAGACTAGCTTACATAACATTCAGTTAGCCTCATCCTACTTAACTTTCAGTCAGACTCATCCAATTAACTTTCAGCCTATCCCTTAATTTCAATCAGACTCAGCTTACATAACATTCAGTTAGCCTCATCCTACTTAACATTCAGTCAGACTCATCCAATTAGACTCAGCCTACCCTTAATTTCAATCAGACTCAGCTTACATAACATTCAGTTAGCCTCATCCTACTTAACATTCAGTCAGACTCATCCAATTAGACTCAGCCTACCCTTAATTTCAATCAGACTCAGCTTACATAACTTTCAGTTAGACTCAGCTTACATAACATTCAGTCAGACTCATCCAATTAGACTCAGCCTACCCTTAATTTCAATCAGACTCAGCTTACATAACATTCAGTTAGCCTCATCCTACTTAACATTCAGTCAGACTCATCCAATTAGACTCAGCCTACCCTTAATTTCAATCAGACTCAGCTTACATAACATTCAGTTAGCCTCATCCTACTTAACATTCAGTCAGACTCATCCAATTAGACTCAGCCTACCCTTAATTTCAATCAGTCTCAGCTTACCTAACACTAAGAAACAATTGGACTACTTCAGTTTTATCAAATTTGACAGGCCAACATTCTGTTAATGAGTGTACTAACTGTAAGGATATAGTTTCTTGAGGTTCCTTGTTTTGCCATTTATTCTACTTGTTGTTTTCTGTGGCTGAAATAAGTAAATAGCATATAATATATATCAACAGTAATTTAAGAGGTATGGTAATGTAATACATATACACTGACAAATACAGGTATAGGAGAACAAGATCAAAACTCCAGAAATATAGATGCGTGGTTGTGATTTATATTAAGTTTAAACTACTTTGGAGTTATGCCCCTTTATCGTATGTGTATACCATTGAAGTTTACTTTTTTGCATATTATAAGTATCTTCCCTTACTTCCTAACTGTTGAAGGGAAGGCTAGAGGTTATTACATCAGTAGTTGACTTGCAGATTAAGTTGGAATTTTCTTCAGGACATTGTCAATTTATAAGATTTATCTTTATGACTGATAATTTTTATCAAGAAAAGTATTTACATACAGAGACAATGGACCAATATAAAAATTCATTCCAAACTTACATTTACATTTATTTTTTTATTAGAATTGATTTTTATAGTTTCTCATATATTTGTGTTATTTGTCATTTGTTACACAGCTTACCACTTCTGGACTGGACAGATAGGGATTTGTTTGTTGTTCTGGTCGTTTATTTCTGGAATAATTCTTGTTGTATGTTCTTAAACGAGAATAGGAAGAATCTGACATCCCTCCATCACTTAATTCACCTGCACTCCCATCTGAAAATAAAAATGTCAAATTCATTGACAACAGATTATACACAAAAACAAAAGGTATAACTGTGTAATTACAGAAGATTGTTTAAAGTAACTACTGGCCACAGCAGTAATTCCCAAAACATACAGGTATGGATATCTATCACTTTCAGAGAGTTAGCACAAAAGTACTTGTAATGACACCAATCAGATGCTATAACAGCTATCTTGAATCCTAAATTTTAAGTTTTGTTTTAATGTATCTGGTATAACATTTATCTTAAAACATAAAACTGAATACTAGGAAATGTTTGTCCTTGTTTAATTTTCGCCATTTTTCTCCATGAACAGAGAGGGAAAATAAAGAATAGAGGCAAAAGTTTGTTACACTTATATAACACTTTTGTATAATCCTCAAAGGGTAAAAAATAACACATGGCAAAATCATGTACAATGTTAGAATGGGGAAAATAACCTGGGGCAGAAATATCCCAGAATACAGTACAGAACACAATATATACTACTTACATGAGGATGTCCGTGACCTGTTTCGACTGCTTGCTGCTGAAAGTTTTAAACATTTTTTTTAGAAATCTAAAAGAGTAAGGTAATCCTGTATATTGTTTATAAGGATAAACTGAATCGTCATGAAACGGTAGTGTAAACAGATATATCTCTGTCTTCATTGATCTGAGAAAGCTCAGTCAAAATAATATAAGTGTGAATATTTATTAGACAACTAAAGTTTACTGTAGACAAGCTTGGCAATTTTAACAAAAGTTAATACCTTATAGAGAGCTTAAGTTTACTGTAGATAAGCTTGGAGAAGTTAACAAGAGTTAACTATTACCTAATAGACAATTAGAACTATAACCTGGTAGACAATTAGAAATATTACCTGATAAACAATTAGATCTATTACCTGGTAGACAATTAGATCTCGTACAAGACAGATTACTGATAGATGACTTATTGTTTTACCTCGAGGATACCTACAGTTTTACCTGAAAGACGACTAGAGTATAGACCTAAAAGATGACAGGAGATTTACTTGAGAGACAACTAGAGTATAGACCTAAAAGATGACAGGAGATTTACCTGAAAGACGACTAGAGTATAGACCTAAAAGATGACAGGAAATTTACCTGAAAGACGACTAGAGTTGATTCTGGAAGAGCTTGGTGACTGTTTTGATCTGTTGGAGCATCCTGATAAATTAGACATTACTTGCCTTTGTCTGAAAAAAAGGACAAAAATCTTTAAATAGTGTTTTTTGAACTAACAAGAACTTAGTACATTTAACAAAGGCAAAGAAAAAGAAGAAAAAAAGATATTTTTAAAGAAATCCATCTATATATACCTACCTAAAAGCAATATTTTTATGTCATTATTTAAATCTGATACCAGGCATCACATCAGAAAGTAATTTTGATATCACACACCATTCAATATCACACGTCAAAATGCAAACTTAATTCAGGTGTGTTTAAGCTCTACAGCAGTCATCTTTTTTAACTCACTTTTTTAATTTATTTTCTTTCTTTCGTCGTTCTTGATCTTTGATGTAAGCTGAAGGATCAAATCTTGGATTTCTAGCACCTGTGAAGCACCAAAAATAATTGTCTATGATTAAAAAGCAACAGATGACCCCCTTCAAACAACAGAGTTCACAATACTTGAGATGAAACATTCATTCATTGTGTCTTAATGTTATTGTGTATGATGCTTCAGCTGTTCTGTTTTTGGCTGCGTTATTAACCAGTGAAAAACTGGGAGAATATTGGACTCCAATTCAAGTCAGTAGAGCCAACCTGTCAAGGATGGGGAAGTGTGTGTAGCTTCAAGGATGTGATACTAACCTGTTAACGACAGTGAGGGTGTGAAACATAAAGCTGTCAGGGATGGGAAAGGTGTAGAATTTTGTCAGGCTTTGTCACAAACCTGTTGAGGATGGAGAACGTGTTCAACTCTGAGGCGGTAACACTAGCCTGATGGGAATGGAGAAAGTGCATGACTCCTGGGCTGTAACACTAACCTGCTGGGGATGGAGAAAGTGCATGACTCCTGGGCTGTAACACTAACCTGCTGGGGAAGGAGAAAGTGCATGACTCCTGGGTTGTAACACTAACCTAATGCGGATGGAGAAAGTGCATGACTCCTGGGCTGTAACACTAACCTGATGGGGATGGAGAAAGTGCATGACTCCTGGGCTGTAACACTAACCTGATGGGGATGGAGAAAGTGCATGACTCCTGGGCTGTAACACTAACCTGATGGGGATGGAGTAGGTGTTTAACTGCGAGGCTGTAATACTAAACTGCTGGAGATGGCAGTATGACTCCTGGCCTGTAACACTAACCTGATGGGGATGGAGAAAGTGCATGACTCCTGGGCTGTAACACTAACCTGATGGGGATGGAGAAAGTGTTTAACTGCGAGGCTGTAATACTAAACTGCTGGAGATGGAGAAGATGTATGACTCCTTGGCTATAACACTAACCTGCTGGGGAATGAGAAGGTGTAGGAATCCTGGGCTGTAACACTTTCCTGATGGGGATGGAGAAAGTGCATGACTCCTGGGCTGTAACACTAACCTGATGGGGATGGAGAAGGTGTTTAACTGCAAGGCTGTAATTCTAAACTGCTGAGGATGGCAGTATGACTCCTGGGCTTTAACACTAACCTGATGGAGATGGAGAAGGTGTATGACTCTTGGGCTAAAATACTTACCTGTTGGGGATGGAGAAGGTGTATGACTCCTGGGCTGTAACACTAACCTGATGGAGATGGAGAAAGTGTGTGACTCCTGGGCTGTAACACTAACCTGATGGGGATGGAGAAAGTGCAGGACTCCTGGGCTGTAACGCTAACCTGATGGGGATGGAGAAGGTGTGCGACTCCTTGGCTGTAACACTAACCTGCTGGGGATATGAAGGTGTATGACACCTGGGCTGTAACACTAACCTGCTGGTGATGGAGAAAGTGTGTGACTCCTGGGCTGTAACACTAACCTGATGGGGATGGAGAAGGTGTGCGACTCCTTGGCTGTAACACTAACCTGCTGGTGATGGAGAAGGTGTATGACACCTGGGCTGTAACACTAACCTGATGGGGATGGAGAAGGTGTGTGACTCCTGGGCTGTAACACTAAACTGATGGAGATGGAGAAGGTGTATGACTCCTGGGCTGTAACACTAACCTGCTGGTGATGGAGAAGGTGTATGACTCCTGGGCTGTAACACTAACCTGATGGGGATGGAGAAAGTGTGTGACTCCTGGGCTGTAACACTAACCTGCTGGGGATATGAAGGTGTATGACACCTGGGCTGTAACACTAACCTGATGGGGATGGAGAAGATGTATGACTCCTTGGCTATAACACTAACCTGCTGGGGAATGAGAAGGTGTAGGACTCTTTGGCTATAACACTAACCTGCTGGGGAATGAGAAGGTGTGCTGACTCTGAGGATGGCAGTATGGCTTTAACACTGTAACACTAACCTGTTGGGGATGGAGAAGGTGTATGACTCCTGGGCTGTAACACTAACCTGATGAGGATGGAGAAAGTGTGTGACTCCTGGGCTATAACACTAACCTGATGAAGATGGAGAAGGTGTATGACTCCTGGGCTGTAACACTAACCTGCTGGTGATGGAGAAGGTGTATGACTCCTGGGCTGTAACACTAACCTGATGGGGATGGAGAAGGTGTGCGACTCCTTGGCTGTAACACTAACCTGCTGGGGATATGAAGGTGTATGACACCTGGGCTGTAACACTAACCTGATGGGGATGGAGAAGGTGTGTGACTCCTGGGCTGTAACACTAAACTGATGGGGATGGAGAAGGTGTATGACTCCTGGGCTGTAACACTAACCTGCTGGGATGGAGAAGTGTGTGGCTGTAACACTAACCTGCTGGGGATTTTCATGTTGTTGTCATCTGGGCTGTTACACTAACCTGATGGGGATGGTGAAGGTGTATGACTCCTGGGCTGTAACACTAACCTGCTGGTGATGGAGAAGGTGTATGACTCCTGGGCTGTAACACTAACCTGCTGGTGATGGAGAAAGTGTATGACTCCGGGGCTGTAACACTAACCTGCTGGGGATGGAGAAAGTGTGTGACTCCTGGGCTGTAACACTAACCTGCTGGTGATGGAGAAGGTGTGCGACTCCTTGGCTTTGTAAAGGAGTTTCTATATGAAGAGTTTCGGCTCCTATTGGGAGCAGATGAAGGACGATCTTGGTCTCGGGATAATGACCTATCTCTGACAGACAATCGGTCACTTGACCATGACCTATCCCTGGACAGAGATCGTTCCCGAGAAAGTGATCGCTCTCTAGAAGGAAATCTGTCCCTTGTAGGAGGTCGTGAAGACCGCTGATGGTGGACTGGTGGGTGTAGTCTGTCTCTGTGGTAACAAACACAATAATCTTGTTCATATATTTACCATTCCTCTGGTTTTCAAAGAAACAAAACAATTACCAGAATACATACAAATAATGGAACAGAGTCCTTAAAGTACTAATTACAAAACAAAATCTTAATTAAAATGTCCCACTGAATAACATTCTTTATATAAAATATGAAATTCAAACAGTCTCCATGCCTTTATTTTACCATTATTTCCAGGCATTAAGAAATATATTGGCGACTTTCATAAAACTACTTAACCACCCACCTTTTGTACATAGCTAATTCATTAGTTAAGCTCTTTACTCGAACACGCAGATTTCGTTCCGATGCCCTCAGCTCTTCAACCTGCATCAGAAAGTTTAGTAATAGTAAATAAGTGATATAAGAGGGTGAAAATGATATAATCAGGATTTCAATTAATTAATACACTCACATATAAATTACAAACTTAATAACCCTGTATATGTCCACAGCCTCCCAAACACACATGCATGCAACACATGCACTCACGTAGCTTACAACATCAGGAGGCTGTCCTCAAATAACCTAGCCCTTGAAAGGACAAAACCAAAGCAGTTAGTTTTGATATACACATTAGAGATAATACCATTGGAAATAAACATTGCATATATTATTTAAATTACATTCTAATGCATAAATACTAGGAACCATGTAAACCCTTTGAACAATTAAGGGGAAAAAGTCATAAAAAAATTTGTGTCTACAAGTAGGCTGACACCAGACCCACAGGAACAACACTGCATCTGCCTGCAGGCTGACACCATACCAACAGGAACAACCCTGTATCTACATACAAGTTGATATCACACCAACAGGAACAACCCATTGTCTACATACAAGTTGACATCACACCAACAGAAACAATTCTGTGTCTACATACAAGTTGACATCACACCAACAGGAACAACCCTGTGTCTACATACAAGTTGACATCACACCAACAGGAACAACCCTGTGTCTACATACAAGTTGACATCACACCAACAGAAACAATTCTGTGTCTACATACAAGTTGACATCACACCAACAGGAACAATCCATTGTCTACATACAAGTTGACATCACACCAACAGGAACAATCCATTGTCTACATACAAGTTGACATCACATCACACCAACAGAAACAATTCTGTGTCTACATACAAGTTGACATCACACCAACAGGAACAATCCATTGTCTACATACAAGTTGACATCACACCAACAGAAACAATTCTGTGTCTACATACAAGTTGACATCACATCACACCAACAGAAACAATTCTGTGTCTACATACAAGTTGACATCACACCAACAGGAACAATTCTGTGTCTACATACAAGTTGACATCACACCAACAGTGTGACATACATACAAGTTGACATCACACCAACAGAAACAATTCTGTGTCTACATACAAGTTGACATCACACCAACAGAAACAATTCTGTGTCTACATACAGTCCGACACCACACCAACAGGAACAACCCTGTGTCTACATACAAGTTGACATCACATCACACCAACAGAAACAATTCTGTGTCTACATACAAGTTGACATCATTCTGTGTCTACATACAAGTTGACATCACACCAACAGAAACAATTCTGTGTCTACATACAAGTTGACATCACACCAACAGGAACAATTCTGTGTCTACATACAAGTTGACATCACATCACACCAACAGAAACAATTCTGTGTCTACATACAAGTTGACATCACACCAACAGGAACAACCCTGTGTCTACATACAAGTTGACATCACACCAACAGGAATAACCCTGTGTCTATATACAGTCTGACACCACACCAACAGGAATAACCCAGTGTCTATATACAGTCTGACACCACACCAACAGGAACAACCCTGTGTCTACATACAAGTTGACATCACACCAACAGGAACAACCCTGTGTCTACATACAAGTTGACATCACACCAACAGGAACAACCCTGTGTCTACATACAAGTTGACATCACATCACACCAACAGGAACAACCCTGTGTCTACATACAAGTTGACATCACACCAACATAAACAATCCAACAATTCTGTGTCTACATACAACCCTGTGTCTACATATATACACATACACATCACACCAACAGGAACAACCCTGTGTCTACATACAAGTTGACATCACATCACACCAACAGAAACAATTCTGTGTCTACATACAAGTTGACATCACACCAACAGGAACAACCCTGTGTCTACATACAAGTTGACATCACACCAACAGGAACAACCCTGTGTCTACATACAAGTTGACATCACATCACACCAACAGGAACAATTCTGTGTCTACATACAAGTTGACATCACACCAACAGAAACAATTCTGTGTCTACATACAAGTTGACATCACACCAACAGGAACAACCCTGTGTCTACATACAAGTTGACATCACATCACACCAACAGGAACAACCCTGTGTCTACATACAAGTTGACATCACACCAACAGAAACACTTCTGTGTCTACATACAAGTTGACATCACACCAACAGGAACAATTCTGTGTCTACATACAAGTTGACATCACATCACACCAACAGAAACAATTCTGTGTCTACATACAAGTTGACATCACACCAACAGAAACAATTCTGTGTCTACATACAAGTTGACATCACACCAACAGGAACAATTCTGTGTCTACATACAAGTTGACATCACACCAACAGGAACAATCCTGTGTCTACATACAAGTTGACATCACACCAACAGGAACAACCCTGTGTCTACATACAAGTTGACATCACACCAACAGGAACAACCCTGTGTCTACATACAAGTTGACATCACATCACACCAACAGAAACAATTCTGTGTCTACATACAAGTTGACATCACACCAACAGGAACAACCCTGTGTCTACATACAAGTTGACATCACATCACACCAACAGAAACAATTCTGTGTCTACATACAAGTTGACATCACACCAACAGAAACCACATGGTCCTTACCTACAGTCTGACACCAACACAAACAGTCCTAATTTTGTAATCCCCCCCCCACCAGATTGTAGTAGGAATATGAAGTGGTAAAACATCCTTATTGACACATCAGTATATTTACCTCCTCTAGCAAATCTCTGTATTCCTGGCTACGTTTACTTGCAGATCGCTGATGTCTTGTCTTCTCTTTCATCAGCTCCTCCTCTAAACTCTTACTAAATATTTTTAAAGCACGAATTTCCTTGACAGCATTTCCTGATGAAGTGTTCTTCATCTCCCGCCTGTACTGTAGAAATTCAGCTTCTGTTTCCTCCTTCTCCTTCAGCAATGTTTTATAACTGCAACAAGTTGTATAAATATAGACAGTTTAACATTATTTAAACCAGTCTTTGTACGAAACAGATCAGAGATATTACATGTTTACCAGACTCAGTGGGTCAGTATTCTTTATTTAATCTGACAGATTCTTTCTAGTTAAGGTGTTTTTACTGTCACTAAAATTACTGATAAATGATCTTAAGATGCGTGTTGTTTCTAGTGTCAAAAATAACAAAACAAAAATTTTAAAAAGAGTTCTTGCCTAATTTTGTGCAATCACTCCTCCCCTTGAAAATGCATAGTAAGTTGTATTGTTCTTGGATTATTAAACAAGAGGCATAGAGGGCCTGTATAGCTCACCTGGATATTTAAGTCAATAATACAAAACTTTACATTTCTTTAGAAAAACATTTCCCCAGATGAGCCTCATCCCTCAGATATAGCTTCAAATTCCCTAGGGGTGGGGACAGAGATCAGTTGTTCATCTCCTTATATCTAGCAATGCTATTAAGTTATGGGATGGTAATTTCAATGGCTTCAAATATATAATCTTTCCTAGGGTAGGACCAGACTCCAGGACAAATTATAAGTTACAACTGTGCTCTATCTCCTGATGCTCAGCAATATTAGAGTTATTCACTGGGGGTCACAACTGTTTCAAAGAACCAAAGATCCCAATGAATTGTTGATGGTACAAAGCAATGATATGAAAATGAACTAAATCTATTTGAGGGTAGATTTTTCCTGTTGGGCTTTGTCCGTCTGGTCCAACACTTTAAATAAAACTAATTTCATGTCACCCAAGCATGCTTCAGACCAAAAATGGACAACATCCTGCGATTCCTGAAGAAGATACATTTTATAGAAATTGATAGATTTTTTTGCCCTATTGGGTCCTGTCCCTCTTGCCCCAAGGGGCATAGACCCACTGTTTATACAAAACTTATTTCCTTTCACCTCAGCATACTTCAGACAGGACAATATGCTGCAATTCCAGAAGAACAAGATAGCATTTAAAGAAACTTATTGATTTTCCTCGTTAGGCTTCCTTAGATAAACTGACTGGAAGATATTGTTATTACTGGGGACATCTCTAAAGCATTTGGGAAATGGAGACTTTTTTTTAAAATTTCAATATGAATTCTTTTTAACTTGCATTTTCAGCTTAAAGACACAGTAGACTTACTCTCGCTGTAACTTTTCCATTTCCTTTGACTTGAATTCTGATCCTCCCTGATTAATACAAAAAACATACACAGCTAATAATGGAGGCATGTTTATAATATATATCAATTATTTATGTTTTAGTTCAGGTGAATACAGTCTGTACAACATTACATAGACCCGTTAAAGATATCAACAGAGACAAAACTGAAGTCAATAACAGTTTTTCATAGGTTCATGTAAACATGATATCAGTTAAATAGACAACTTCATTGATACACTACAGATATACATCGCATAAAACTTTTAAGTAACATCATGATAGAATTACACATGAAATACATGTTTACATGTCCCACTATGTTAGTATGGAACTTGCGAGCAATATATACGAAATTTTTATCTCTCCTCCATCCACCCCTACAAATTTCCAAGTCAATTTGTTAACTATAATTATGATATGTAAGCAACATCATTATGTTGATGTCTTTTTTAAATACAATAGGTTTTACATGCATTGTAAAACATGAAATTATTTTTTTGTTAATTCTCAAAATTCACTTAAAAATCACCTTTAACCTTAAAAATAATACCACCCTTCCTGAAAAAAGAAGAGCAAAGCCTGTCTGATATTTTAAAGTACTTGTTTCAATATGACTATAAACAAAATCTGTGGTGAATAGAATAAGCAATAAAGACTTCTTAGTCATTTCTCAAAATTGAAGTTATTGTCCCAAAAATACACTAAAATATAAAATTAATGTACAATGTACTATTTGGTAGGTCCATACCACAATGTAAATACATTCCAGGGTTGATTGAAAAAGCACTTGTACTTAATGAAAACTGAGCTTAACATAAAACTTTAAAGTCTAGCTTCTCAAATCCCTAATTTTAAGAGTTGCTAGACCATATTGGTAATTATAAAATCTGAAAGATATTTTGTAGATGGTGGATGTGTTGAGGTGTCTACTATGTGATCTAGCTATAATAAGTTTGGTTGAAGTTGGACTTGATATAAGTTATACTTTTTGAGCAACATAGCTGAATGCTAAACTTTAAAGTAAAATAATGAAGACATTGTCACAAAAGTACACCATTGCCTCACTTCCACGACTTTTTGTTGTAGACGAGAACGAAAAATGAAAGATTGACTATATGTGACCACAACTTGGTCAAGAAAATTTCAGAAATTTCTAAGAATCTATTTGTACAGGACTTAAGAATGTCTTAATTGCCCTCAGTTGATGCAAGAATATAATTACTCAAACAACCAACATAAATCTGTTTAAAATCTACTGAACACATACAAATAAATTGATATTTTATGCAACCTTTCAGGCTATTGGTTTTGCCTACATGTTCTATAAAAGGAATCGTAGCTCAATGGTTTGACACGACAACTTAATGCTTCATTGTCATAGCCCAATGTTTTGGTGTATACCACACCACTGTTTAATAAGTGCGTTCTAGTTATATCCAGTTACCTGTTGCCGCAAAACTTTGATTTCCTCCCTGAGCTGTCGAATTGTCTCCTGAAGACGGCGTGGGTCAGGTTTTCCCATGTAAGGTATTGGGAGAGGATAGTGGATTCTGTACAATATAATGCACCCTTAGAATACTTATAGCTTTGTGGTTTGTTTAGTGAAAATACAGTAACATTTCATACAAATGTATCACAGATATTTAAAAACCACATCTGCTATTTTATATTTCCTTTTATAATAATTGAATACTGAAACAATTAACAGCCCTCAAATGGTGATTAAAGCACATTTATCTGTCAAAAATGCTAAATTGAATACAAACCACTTTATATCAATAATAATACTCTTTACTTGTACTGAACATTTCTGAGATAATAAAAATGTTATGCTGTATCATTCTTGAACAGAATTTTCACTTTTTTACACTGGAATTAATTGGTTACAGTGCATTCTTAAAAAAATTAGAGCATAAGATATTACAACAATTACAAAAGGTGCTGAGGTAAATATTCACCTGTCAAATTCCACAGTGTAAGTGAGGATGAGGTAGCGCTTTGAGTTGACAGACACAGATCTGTTAGAAGGAATGGAGCTTTTGGGTACATTTGTCTTCCTCTGTCTAAGGGACTCCAGGTCTGAGTAGGTAAGCAAGTCCAGTGATACACTGTCACTGCTCTGAGTGACAAAAACAAATTTGCTTTATTTTACATTAAATCTACTGACATTGTGTTTAGTTTTAATATCACAAAATCTTTCTATTCAAGATGGTTTAATGAAATGAGAGAACAAAACACCCTTTCAAAACTTATTTATAAATAATCAATAAAGATAATTTCTTGATACAATTAACAATGTTTTTTTCTATTGGAACATAAAACAAGAGGCCCAGAGGGCCTGTATTGCTCACCTCGATATTTCAGTCAATACTTAAAAAATTTACATTTCCTTAGAAGAAAAGTATTTCCCCTGATGAGCCTCACCTCACAGATGCAGCTTCAAATTCCCTAGGGGTGAGGACAGAGGTCAGTTTTTAATCTCTTGATGTCCAGCAATGCTATAAGGTTATGGGATGATGATCTCAATGGCTTCAAATATATAATCTGTCCTAAGATGGGACCAGACCCCAAGACAAATTATTAGTTACAATTGTGGTTATCTCATGAAGCTCAGCAATGCTATAGATATTCAATAGGGATCACAATTGTTTCAATGAACCAAGGGGGAGGGGGGAGCAGTGTCAGACCCACCAAATACACATAATTGCTTCCTCTTTGATCAAAGATGCTTCAGACCAAATTTGGTTAAAATCCACACAGTCGTTCATGAAAAGTTGCAATATACAGTAAAAAGTTGGCAGCCAACGGACCACAGGAGGACATATGTTGCAGTATCCCTATAGCAAGCACATTTGTTTATCAGAAACAATTATGTAGCTCTATCCCTGTTACTACTCCAGATTCCTATCCTCATACCTTCAGGGTGTTTAATGCCAATAGGATTATGATATGAATCAGTTACAATAACACTTAAGCATGTTATCTTACCTGAGTGACAGCAGATTCCAACATACTATTGAAGATGTGAAATTGTTTAAAGTTTCCTGTCTTATGGGTCAGGTCCTCTATATCTGTAACATATTGTAAATAGATACAAATGATGATACAATGTACATGATTCAATACATACTTATTTTTAACAGATTGCCTGATTATCAGAAGTAAGTATGAAACAAATGACAAGAGTATCATTGAAACTGATGAATGCTCCCCGAAAACGACTTTATTGGACACAAAATTTTATCAAAGGGCAATAGTTCTGTGATTAAGGGGTTGAAGGCCTTGAATTTGGTATACCGCACAGTCTCTTAGCATGACCAATGTATACAGTTAGTTTCACAATCCTAGTTTTAATGCAAGCAAAGATTTGCTCTTGATATAAAATTTTAACAAAGCGCAATAACTCTATACAAGGGATCATGGTCTCTGACTTTGCTACAGTGCACATTGTTTTGTATGACTGATGTGCATATCATGTTCCAATATCCTTGTTTTAATGCAGACAAAGTAACCCTCCAGACACAAATCTTTAACAACGGGTGATAACTCTATAATTGAGGGGTTGTGGGGCCAAAACATTGGTACATTGCACATTGTCTTCATATGATCAATGTATACACCAACTTTCATTATCCTACCTTAAATAAATACAAGCAAAGTTATGCTCTGGACAAGATTTTAAAGACAGGCAATAATTCTGTAACAGACTGAAAGATGTATGGATGGACAGGCAAGGCACTGACCATATGCCTATCCTGAAAATTTTCTAGGAGCATAAAAAATGGATACTTACATGCAGAATCAAATGTGGCCCGCCATTGGTCTGCTGTTAACCTATCCTCTACCTCCAGGGTCAGACTCTGTGACTGAGTGGACATTGTTACAATGTACTCAATCCCTCGGAAAACATAGGAGGTTGACACTGTAGTCTCTTCTTCCATCATGGGATCTTTATCTAATGGATCAAGCCTAAAGACGTTTCAATGAATTATATGAGTGACAAGTAATTGAACACTGAAAAACTGTATTTAAGGTGACAAACATTGAAACAAGAAATCAAAATTTTTTTGGCCTATTTACATTTCCCAAATATATATATAATTCATATAAAGCCCATGGTCAGTAACAGTCATCTGACTCTAAAGACCCACATATGAATACGACATTTTCTGCAAACTTGAAATCATATTCTTTATACATGCACTATGCAATTGCAATTGCAATTACTACAGGCGTATTGCTTGTTGAAAAAGTAAGCTACATGACTAATATCAAGAACCTTATCCTTTCCCCTATACTGAGAAGAAGTTGCTTAAGCATCCGACACCTGTGACCTTAAAAGTGGGTCAAGGTAAAAAATTTGGTAGCCCTATATCCTCGTATGCTACTTACCAAATATCAGATACCCTAGATTCCTAGGGATCAAACACTTTTTCTGAATTTAGGAAACAATGCCCAAATCTCAATGATGTTTCCGACTAAATTTCATTGCAGTAATTTCAAGCTTTATAAGGAGTAGCGGTTTTAACCAAAATATTGTCAAATTTCTTCAATTGAAGCCCCGCCCCAAATTCCCTAGGGGTCAATCAAATTTCTGAATTTAAGAAATAATTGTCTACCCAACTGATGAATTAGGCCAAAGCTAGTTGAAACCTATTCAGGCAGAAAGAAGTAGTAGGGTTTTAAAGCCAATTTCAGCACCTTCCCCTTGAGGGCCCCATAAGAAATGACTACCCTCAAACAATGATGCATCCGACCAAAATTGGTTCAAATCCACATCAGTATGAAAGAGGAGTAGGGTATTCAAAAAAATATTGTATGCATGACGACAGAACAAACACAATGTGCTGACACATTTTATAAGCCTCTTCATTATCAATATCAGGCCTTCAGCAGGGGTTTCAAGAAAACTTAATTAAATTATGAAAATAAAAAACTTGTACCCTTCCACTTCACGTATATGTTTTGAGCTGTTGGTAAATATAGTGCTTTTTTGTCATATTTTTGCAACTATTGCACTTACAAGAGAATTGAACGTGTAAATCAGACAAAAAATTATGATCATGACTGCTTCATTTGCAATATTTTTATTGCCTTGTCTCCTAACTGCATCATTTGATGTACTTGCAATATTTGTTTGAATTCAATCATATTTGAATTTTCTTTTCAAATCATGCATAGATGAGTTAGGCCATGAAACATACAGTTCAAAATGATATATGTACATATGTAGATAAAGTTGCATTTGCTTTTAGCCAGTGCCTACATGTATTTCATACTAAACTTAATTGAGAATTTTTCACAATTTACAACGGGACAAAGTCTGACAAAAATAATCAGTTAGAGGACATTCTATATGTGATATATAGCTATCCTACTACTAAACTAGCAGGAATCATAAAAGTATATAAAAAACAACAAGGAATACAATGTCATCAGAGCAGGTCAGGTAGGGTACTGGCACTTGTCTTTTTTGTTAAATAATCATTGCATCTCAGTAAAAATGCATCACACATGTCCAATAAGAATTGCTCTTTAATTACAACATGAAAAATCATTATGACAATGTTTTGTACTGGCGGATATTGGACTTATATTGCAGATTGCATTTTGTAGCAATTTTTATTGTCATGCAAATTTACCAGTCTCCACATAAACAGGATGCGGTACACTTTGTTTACACCTCTACAGGAAAGCAGAACAGTTGCCAGAATAAGTCAGTGTTCTACTAGCAAGAAAAAAGAACATGACCTGGTGTTCATCGGTCAGTGTGGAACAGGAAAGACACATGAAAAACTATTAAGACAAAATTTACAGTGTTACATTTTTATTTATATGGAAAACATGATAACCTTCTTCCTTATACTGGCCAGTGCAACACAATGTCAGAACATTTTTTTTTCATTGAAGAACATTTTCACCTGGGCACATATTATGTAATTTTACTGAGATGCAATGAACAGACAAGTAAGTTGTGGTACCCTACCTTACCTCCGACGACGACGTTGCATTCCTTGTGCTTCCTGTGGTCCGTGCCAATGTGTATTGACCAAAAGTTTCTGTCTCTAAAATGATTGTTTACTCTAAAATAAGCACAGTCAGTAAAAATGTATATATTAATAACTACATATTTCATGTAGATATTGACATTTAGAGACAAAAACCTCACGTCTACGCTGTATACGGTTTGTCAAATAAGCATGGGTTATTTGTTTACCTTCTAGAATAACAACAGCGATTGCGTTATTTACACAATACCTAACATATATTAATGGAATAAAGATAAAATAATGCTTGCAGTAACGCACAAGAAAATAGCAATTAGTAGTTTTACTTAAAAACTTACAGTATAGACAACAAACTGAACCAGTCTCGACTTGTCAAAATTTAGTCCGGCTTAAGAAATGGACGCAGACTCCTCTTAATCTGCTGGTTAGGACCTCTTATCGGTTGATTCGATGCTAACAGTATCTACAACTTCGTGCCATTCATCGTAGGCTCCAAAATGAGCATTTATGTATATAAAGTAAATTTTGGTTATTCCTATGTTCAAAACAGCCGCATGAAGGCAGCCATATTGGAATAAACGTCACTAGGTTGGGGCGTGTGTAGTAAATGAAAATCAAGACGGTCCTACATTTCCGGACTAACTGAATTTTCACGGTTATATCGCGGATTAATTCAAAGCACATAGTTTTCATGAACATACTGTATAAACCAAACATACATTGTTTATTCCTAACAAATAATAAACTTGACCCTTTTTAATAGGTTACCAGCACGCCTATTTTGGAAATCTGCTCTTTATAACCACAACAACAATAATAATAATAATAATAATCACGAAGTACTAGATATTTTGTGCCTCTGAAGTTTAGTATTATCAGAGCGAACATAATCTCAAGGTTTTTCTGTGTAAGTAATTTATTTGACGGGTGTAACATTTGTTATTTTGGCCTTTCGTTCATAAGTGGCAACTTCTTGCTTCTTCGGATGACGGTCCCTTAGCTTACAGTTATATTCCACAGTCTTATCAACTGACATCAAGGCTGCCTCCATCTCATTAATACTGATAGACCCTGGGGAGTCAATAATCAGGAGTTGAACCATTTTTCATATTCCGTAAAACTGGCAAGCTTTGACTAACACCCCGTACCACTCAAAAGTCAATAATTACCAAGCGAAAGGAAGCAGTATTTTAGGTTGAAAACTCCCGATGGAATAACAATGCGGAACAGACGACAGAATAACCCTATGGACAGTTGTTCATGCTAGCATTGATCTTCGGTGAAATACGCTTACAATACTGGTCAACATTGGCGTAGGAAATTGTCCCAGAGGTGACTTTTGTGAAACGTGTAAAACCGTTGAGTTTTTTTATGGGCGGGAGGGGGGAGGTGCGAGTACCATTTTTCAGTTTTCTGCATCTGTATTTTTCATATCTATATTTCAGTGATTTTATCGATTTTCTGGGGGAGGGCCCCCCAGACCACTCGCCAAAGCTTCGCGCCTTCGGAGTTGCCAGATTTTTGCACCCCCCCCCCTCCCCCAACTTTAGATCCTGGCTACGCCACTGCTGGTCAACACCCCAAACTAAATCTGAAGACTGATAGGAAAATGTTACCCCGATCACAATATCGAAGTTTTTAACACTCGCCATAATATACTTCAGAAGACTTTGCTAACGATGTCTGACAGGGTTACACTGTCACTAGCCGCATGTATCTAGATAAAATATGAATAAAATGGACATCTTATGCCAGATAACCGGTAACTTTACAGCTTCTTGATATCTGGATTGTGTTCAAATAAATCGTCAGACTGGATTGTTGGTACCCCGAACATACCAGACGCTAAATAACTCTTCCAACTCGAAACACACGATCTAGAGTTCAAGACTGGTTCCCTAACCACGGTGTCTGACGTCTGCCAATAATGTATCTTCCTGAGCTCAGATTATGATCAAGCAAATAGATATTTCCAAACAGGAATTACAAATAATCCTGCCGGACAATGTAAATCTATGGTGTCGTCATTTCCTGTTCCCTGGTTAGAATCTATGGTCACTGGGGCTGTATCATTTGTAGCTCCATGATAGGGAAGTGTCATTTTCGTACATAAAACTTTGCTGTCACTTACCTAACATTGCGCATCATGCATCTTCGAGAACAGGGAAACAGTCTGAGGACAACTGTGATAACGTCTGTTGTAGCCCGAGCCTCCCCTGTTTCCTTCACCTGACCTTAGTCCCCTCTTTCCTTCACCAGACATTATCCATTTAAACATGAAGTCCGAGTTTTCCCTGGTTACTTCATCAGACCTTAGTCCCCTGTTTCATACATCAAACATTAGCCATCTAAATATAACGTCTGTTGTAGCCCGAGTTTTCCCTGGTTATGTTCACACCAGATCATAGAATTTAAACAGAGCATTAACTGATCATCAAAATATGTAGCTATAACGTCTGGTGTGGGAGTCAGAGGAAACATGGACTATGTGACTTCTTGTTTACTGATATGAGATCGTACCTTATTTAAAAAAACAAAACAAAACAAAACAAAAAAAAAAAAAAACACTAGATATCACCATCCCAACACTGCCAAGGAAGAAACTGAAATCTTGCACAGAAATCTTTGCCATCCATTGTACAAAAGACGGAACACTCTACTCAGTTTTAATATTGAGAAAGTCCACGATAAAGTTCCCAGCTATCGCTTTTTGCTGAATTTGTTTCCTATAGAGCTTTCCATGACCCTTCTGTAAAACAAACTTTTTCTTGACATTGTATTACCTTCTGCACGCACTTGTTAACATGCGCCTACATTGTAAAACGTTTGACTCACGACCGAGTGCCAAGTCTTGGTTTCCAATTGAGACACCTCGTCGCCAAACCAAGAAATAGCAAAACTACTACTATGTTCCTACATGAAGGGAATGTTTCGGAGTTACACTTGACCATAGTGATAAGATGATACTCGGATACCAGGATTGTCAGGTATTCATCTATACATGTATTGATACGCGGTGTAAATATATCTTGTATATTAATAAAACCCTGTGGATAACCATAATATGTATCTTATGACTGTATTTTTACTGACTACTTTAACATAGAAACATAAACAAATATTCAACATGATAGGTTCCATTATTTGAAATGAATCAAATTGATTATGACACTATTGAGTTTTCATGTACCTTTCAAATTTATCATATATAGTGCTATTGTAGCCTTGGAGGTCAATTAAATTTTAGAATGTTGATGTTTGACACTAACATACAAACTACGCTATGTCCCGAATTAACCTGTCGGAAAGTGGGTTAATCTGTCTTCCGTCTTTAATTCGTTTTTATATTATGTTATTAATTCGTGCTTTACCCAGACATTGGTAAGTCTGTCATTATAACCTTTTGTGAGACTACATAACATATACATAGTTAAAATACATAAGCTATACGCCGTCAAAAGAAACAATGAAAATGAGAAAATACGGTTTCAGTTTCTGGTAATTCAAACTATGTTAAGCACAAAAAAATTAATTATTTAGACCATCTTAGTGAGGCCATTTTATCGTTTTCGTTTCTTTCTTCTTTCATGTTTCTTCTAGTTTCGACATTAGTAATGATATGTTAGACAAAGGTGTTCCTAGAAACACCGCTCTATAAATGTCCTGATGAGCCCAATAAGGGGACAGTTCACGTGTTAAACATCTTTCCAGACAAAATGCAAGGTATCCCGACTTCCATCACAATACAAATGTACTGGGGTGTTAGTGACGATACTCTGACGGTAGACGTGACGACAAGTTAATACATGCAGGGGAGGTGGGGGGGAGATGGAAGCAACAAGATGCACTTTTTCATAAAGATCAGAAAGGTGTGCATGGTATTGTCCATTACAAGGTGGTATTGCTGGTGCCTGGTCATTCTATCCATATTGGTTTGTCGCCAGGTGTCTTGTCGATGATGATGATGATGATGATGATGATGATGATAATGATGATGATGATGAAGCACTGATTATGTTATGTCATTTGAAAACTGTATGTTCAAATAGGGTGTTAACCATAACCGTGCCTCCGCTAGGATTCGAACCCGGGACATATGGCTTACTAGTCTGATGCTCAAGAGTAGTTTTCTCTAGGTGAGCGGTATATTCCGGCAAGTGGTAAGACTGTTGTGTAACTAGGCAATAGTTAATGGTTATAGAAACGTATGTAATAGTTATGGTGATATGTTACCATGTAATAGTTTGTATGTAAAAACATACGAGAATATGATAGTTAAGGTTTTATAACAAAGTAATAGTTACGATGGTCGATAGACATATAATACTTAGTATGTAATGTGACAATGTAATAATTGATGTGTAATGTAACTGTGTAATGGTCATGTTTTATGCAAGACACTGCACAAAAGACACACAAGTCAATAGCACCTTTTAAGTACAAAATAGAGTTAGATAGAGTAAAGCCAAACAATGAATTAAATTGTATCATACAGCTGTTTCGTCCTTCTAAGACCATGTGATGCTAAGGGCCTGAGTTTTGAAGGCTAGAAGGTGACCGAGGAAAATTCAAAATGATCAAAGTTTAGACGGGAAGGCGTAACTATGTCATTGTTAAGGTGGTATATAGCCATGTAATACGTAACTATGTCATTGTTAAGGTGGTATATAGCCATGTAATACGTAACTATGTCATTGTTAAGGTGGTATATAGCCATGTAATACGTAACTATGTCATTGTTAAGGTGGTATATAGCCATGTAATACGTAACTATGTCATAGTTAAGGTGGTATATAGCAATGTAATACGTAACTGTGTCATAGTTAAGGTGGTATATAGCCATGTAATACGTAACTATGTCATAGTTAAGGTGGTATATAGCCATGTAATACGTAACTGTGTCATAGTTAAGGTAGTATATAGCCATGTGATACGTAACTATGTTATAGTTAAGGTGGTATATAACCATGTAATACGTAACTATGTCACGGTTAAGATTGTATATAGCCATGTAATACGTAACTATGTCGAAGTTAAGGTGGTATAAAGTCATGTAATACGTAACTATGTCACATTTAAGGTGGTATATAGCCATGTCATACGTAACTATGTCATAGTTAAGGTGGTATATAGCCATGTGATACGTAACTATGTCATTGTTAAGGTGATATATAGCTATGTAATACGTAACTATGTCATAGTTAAGGTGGTATATAGCCATGAAATACGTAACTGTGTCATAGTTAAGGTGGTATATAGCCATGAAATACGTAACTATGTCATAGTTAAGGTGGTATATAGCCATGAAATACGTAACTGTGTCATAGTTAAGGTGGTATATAGCCATGAAATACGTAACTATGTCATAGTTAAGGTGGTATATAGCCATGAAATACGTAACTGTGTCATAGTTAAGGTGGTATATAGCCATGAAATACGTAACTGTGTCATAGTTAAGGTGGTATATAGCCATGAAATACGTAACTATGTCATAGTTAAGGTGGTATATAGCCATGAAATACGTAACTGTGTCATAGTTAAGGTGGTATATAGCCGTGAAATACGTAACTGTGTCATAGTTAAGGTGGTATATAGCCATGTAATACGTAACTATGTCATTGTTAAGGTGGTATATAGCCATGAAATACGTAACTATGTCATAGTTAAGGTTGTATATAGCCATGAAATACGTAACTGTGTCATAGTTAAGGTGGTATATAGCCATGTAATACGTAACTATGTCATTGTTAAGGTGGTATATAGCCATTTAATACGTAACTGTATCATAGTCAAGGTGGTATATAGCCATGAAATACGTAACTGTATCATAGTTAAGGTGGTATATGGCCATGTAATACGTAACTGTATCATAGTTAAGGTGGTATATAGCCATGTTATACGTTACTATATCATAGTTAAGGTGGTATATAGCCATGTAATACGTAACTATGTCATAGTTAAGGTGGTATATAGCCATGTGATACGTAACTATGTCATAGTTAAGGTGGTATATAGCCATGTGATACGTAACTGTATCATAGTTAAGGTGGTATATAGCCATGTTATACGTTACTATATCATAGTTAAGGTGGTATATAGCCATGTAATACGTTACTATATCATAGTTAAGGTGGTATATAACTATGTAATAGTTGAGAGTAATGTTACAACGTTTTAGTTATGGTTAGATGTAATCATATTTTAAGATGTCGTGTACGTTTGTGGTATTCGGTTGTTATGTAACCATGTACATTTGTAACAGTTGTTGTGTTATGTAACCAGGTAACAGTAAGCGTATTATATTATCAAGTTAAAGTGACTACCGTGTCCCTGCTCGACGCTGTACACTGACCTTGTGTTACGTACTACCGCTATCTATTATTTGGTTTGACACATTGCTTCCATTTCACATAATCGTTCTGGTGACATCACACAAGTCACGGTGGGCACCTGGGGACAAATGGGGACCTTTTTAATATTCCGTTCAGATGTGTTGTTACATGTTGAAATGTATATTCCAGCGCCATCTATCTCCGTAGAATTATCTTAACAAAACTCTTCTGTCAACACTGTCCAGAAGATTAATTGATCCATGTTGAAGATATGCGACGTCAGTCAATCTCGTTCCTATGTCCTATGCTTTCTTTAACTCGTTCCTATACCCTACGATTCTTTCTCTTGTTCCCAGACCCTACATTTCCTATCCTCGTTCCCAGACCCTACATTTCCTTTCCTCGTTCCTAGACCCTACGTTTCTTTCCCGTGATCCTCTCACCATGACACATTATTATGAAAGTCTTAGGCAGCCTCAACATAATACGATATGTTCTAAACATATATATATATTACATAATAATAATATATATAGTTTAAACTGTAGAAAGTAATGTACATGTATATAATTTAAAAATCATTTGTACAAGGTCATTGTATTATGGGATACGCTAAAAGTCATTGAATCGTAACCAAGTATACGTACAAGGTCATTGTGTCCTTGCATTTCTACAAGGCCATTTGGAACCCAGTGAGTCTGACCAATGTGACAAAGATTTGTGTGACCCGGATGTACAATAAATGTCATGAAGACCAACACTCATTTTGCATCGTTTTTATTTGAATTTTACACTGGTGCCATGTATAACACGACTTTAATATAAAAATAGATATAAATTATACAGCGTCACATTTGATTGTAACTTATTCATCATCATGGTCAAAAAACAAAAATTACTGGACAACAAGACAAATTTCAAAAGTTACGAGAATAGTGCCCACTGACGGATAAGCTTAACCGATCGGTACTTACCGACTGAACAGTCGATATTCCTCAATACAGGAATAATAGTTGATATAGCAGTGAATTATTGTATCACAGAGACTTGCGCATTGGTTACTGAGTAGGTGAAGGCGTGTGAGACAGAGCTTGTATAGGTACTGCCTGTCACCCAATTCTCCTTGAATATTTTTGATCTGATAAAACATTTTGAAATGAAAATGTGTGCTATTGTGACCATGCTGTGTATGGGTGATATAGGCTAGTGTGCAATAGGTGGTGTGTAAGTATGATACGTGGTTTCCTGTATGAGAATATAGTGTGAAAGTGCGAGGCAATTTTATACGACTTGTGATTTTAGTACTTTTCATCCAGTCACTTTATTCAAAGAAACTGGAACCTTCTTTTGAGATATGTAAACTATATCTAAATTCTCGGTATACATGTAAAAGACCGACATTTATACTCGGTGAATATGATTCTGTCAGAACAGTGAACTATGCAGAGGTGTGTAACATCAACGGAAAATTATAATAATTCTATTTAATAATTGATTCTAGTAACGGAATTTTGGACACGATATTAAGTGACGTCATATTTTTATCGCTTTCTACGAATATTGTGCATGAAGAACACTCAGACAGGAAGCACTTGCTGTATCGAAACAGAGATCAGGATCTCTGGCAGTATGTAAAATATTTTAATTGAATTACACTAAAATGTATGGTAACCACTAAAATCAATATTATACTGTAAGTAGTACAATCATTTGTCACCGTGTCATTGTATAAAATAAAATATTTCATGTAATTGAGAGTTCCAAAAATTCCACTAATGCGTTCTGCTGAACTGTCTATGTTTAAGTTATCGTCAACATCATTGCCGTTTCTTTGACGACGCTCTTTTTGACAATCCTTCCGTTTTTTTGGATTTGGAACTGTACCTTCCGGCCGGACTCGGAGATTTGTTGCCCGTCCGCTTTCTAGTCACCTTGGGTTGAAGATTTTCTACGTGAAGTTTGTAGTTAGGAAAGTGTTCCTCTAACTCCTGTAACAACGGTGTGTACTGATACTGGGACGGTAATGGCGTCGACCCAGAGTCTATAGACACATTGTCCGGCATCAGTTCCTTCTGTACCAAGATGTACGTACCATGTGATGTTAGAAACTTATTTGCATATTCATGTTTGTGCATGTCCAGTTCTTTCACCAAGCCTGTAACGAAAAGATGCAATATTAATCTCAAATATACTAATAAACTCACAGATTGTTAATGAAGTTATGCAGGGTTTACACCAAAACAGTCACATACATACGGTTCTATGTTTAATGAAGTTATGCAGGGTTTACACCAAAACTGTCACATACAAACGGTTCTATGTTTAATGAAGTTATGCAGGGTTTACACCAAAACTGTCACATACATACGGTTCTATGTTTAATGAAGTTATGCAGGGTTTACACCAAAACTGTCACATACATACGGTTCTATGTTTAATGAAGTTATGCAGGGTTTACACCAAAACTGTCACATACATACGGTTCTATGTTTAATGAAGTTATGCAGGGTTTACACCAAAACTGTCACATACATACGGTTCTATGTTTAATGAAGTTATGCAGGGTTTACACCAAAACTGTCACATACATACGGTTCTATGTTTAATGAAGTTATGCAGGGTTTACACCAAAACAGTCACATACATACGGTTCTATGTTTAATGAAGTTATGCAGGGTTTACACCAAAACTGTCACATACATACGGTTCTATGTTTAATGAAGTTATGCAGGGTTTACACCAAAACTGTCACATACATACGGTTCTATGTTTAATGAAGTTATGCAGGGTTTACACCAAAACTGTCACATACATACGGTTCTATGTTTAATGAAGTTATGCAGGGTTTACACCAAAACAGTCACATACATACGGTTCTATGTTTAATGAAGTTATGCAGGGTTTACACCAAAACAGTCACATACATACGGTTCTATGTTTAATGAAGTTATGCAGGGTTTACACCAAAACTGTCACATACATACGGTTCTATGTTTAATGAAGTTATGCAGGGTTTACACCAAAACAGTCACATACAAACGGTTTAATGGCTGAAAACAGTCACAAATTATCGACGGTTACTTTTGACGGCTGACGTGTAGGCGTTTCGCCCACGGTACGAGTGAGATAGTATTTCTCGGGCTGTCAGACGTATTTGAATGCTGATCATTCAATCCATTTAATTGATTTCAAATGACACAAATCGCCAGCTTTATCAGATAAGACCTAATAAATGACACTCTAATATACTCTTATATTGCAGGCTAACGGCGTGCTTTCCACACAGAAAACAGGATATCTGGTTACTCCACGTGCTTAGTCGTAAAGTGATTTAGAAAAAAATATATCGGTACATGTAAAATACGAGACTGATTTGTAGCAATGTGTCACTCTAAACTTTATTGATTCACGGTGTGTAACTGTTGCGACGCTTACATGGGTTCACGGTGTGTAACTTTGGTAAAGTTAATTATAAGTTCATGATGTGTTTCACGGGTTCACGATGTGTAACTGTTGTAAAGTGTTCACGGTGTGTAATTATTATAACGTTTTCACGGCTTCACGGTGTTTAACTGCTATAAAGTGTTCACGGCTTCACGGTGTTTAACTGCTGTAAAGTTTTCACGGCTTCACGGTGTTTAACTGCTATAAAGTGTTCACGGCTTCACGGTGTTTAACTGCTGTAAAGTTTTCACGGCTTCACGGTGTTTAACTGCTATAAAGTGTTCACGGCTTCACGGTGTTTAACTGCTGTAAAGTTTTCACGGCTTCACGGTGTTTAACTGCTGTAAAGTTTTCACGGCTTCACGGTGTTTAACTGCTGTAAAGTTTTCACGGCTTCACGGTGTTTAACTGCTGTAAAGTTTTCACGGCTTCACGGTGTGTAACTGCTATAAAGTGTTCACGGCTTCACGGTGTTTAACTGCTGTAAAGTTTTCACGGCTTCACGGTGTTTAACTGCTATAAAGTGTTCACGGGTTCACGGTGTGTAACTGTTGTAAAGTGTTCACGGCTTCACGGTGTGTAACTGTTGTAAAGTGTTCACGGGTTCACGGTGTGTAACTGTTATAAAGTGGTCACGGGTTCACGGTGTGTAACTGTTGTAAAGTGTTCACGGCTTCACGGTGTTTAACTGCTGTAAAGTTTTCACGGCTTCACGGTGTGTAACTGTTGTAAAGTGTTCACGGGTTCACGGTGTGTAACTGTTGTAAAGTGGTCACGGGTTCACGGTGTGTAACTGTTGTAAAGTGTTCACGGGTTCACGGTGTGTAACTGTTATAAAGTGTTCACGGTGTGTAACTGTTGTAAAGTGTTCACGGCTTCACGGTGTGTAACTGTTGTAAAGTGTTCACGGCTTCACGGTGTGTAACTGTTGTAAAGTGTTCACGGGTTCACGGTGTGTAACTGTTGTAAAGTGTTCACGGGTTCACGGTGTGTAACTGTTATAAAGTGTTAACGGGTTCACGGTGTGTAACTGTTGTAAAGTGTTCACGGGTTCACGGTGTGTAACTGTTATAAAGTGTTAACGGGTTCACGGTGTGTAACTGTTGTAAAGTGTTCACGGGTTCACGGTGTGTAACTGTTGTAAAGTGTTCACGGCTTCACGGTGTTTAACTGCTGTAAAGTTTTCACGGCTTCACGGTGTGTAACTGTTGTAAAGTGTTCACGGGTTCACGGTGTGTAACTGTTGTAAAGTGGTCACGGGTTCACGGTGTGTAACTGTTGTAAAGTGTTCACGGGTTCACGGTGTGTAACTGTTATAAAGTGTTCACGGTGTGTAACTGTTGTAAAGTTTTCACGGGTTCACGGTGTGTAACTGTTATAAAGTGATCACGGGTTCAAGGTGTGTAACTCTTGTAAAGTGTTCACGGGTTCACGGTGTGTAATTGTTGTCACGTTTTCACGGGTTCACGGTGTGTAACTGTTGTAAAGTGTTCACGGGTTCACGGTGTGTAACTGTTGTAAAGTTTTCACGGGTTCACGGTGTGTAATCGTTGTCACGTTTTCACGGGTTCACGGTGTGTAACTGCTGTAAAGTTTTCACGGGTTCACGGTGTGTAATTGTTGTAAAGTTTTCACGGGTTCACGATGTGTAACTGTTGTAAAGTTTTCACGGGTTCACGGTGTGTAACTGTTGTAAAGTTTTCACGGGTTCACGGTGTGTAACTGCTGTAAAGTTTTCAAGGGTTCACGGTGTGTTACTGTTGTAACGGTTTTAGGTGTGTAACTGTTGTGAAGTTTTAATAGGTAACTGAACGCTACATGGTTAGGACTGCGGTGCGTGTATCTGCGTCTAAGTGTTACAAACTGTAATAATTTGCTAGTGAGATTAATAGTATAGAGGGCATATAAGACATCCAGTAGCACGTGTTGCACATTCCCACTCATGTTAACAATCCACGCTACTTACAGCATTAAGAGGTCTCATTTGGAACTTGTCACCCAGTTTGATTGGTTAGTTACCAAGCTTTGTAGCTATCTAGACATGGCAAGTCGTAAAACAGCACTATTGGCGGATACTCGAGAGCCACTTGGTTACGCGATCAGATCGCTTAATCTGGTCGATAGTCTGTACACTGAACTCGATACGTAGCCAGTATGGACAACTTAATGATGTAAGACTGATATTTCAATTCTAGATAGCAGTGTTTATGTGTTAAAAGTCAGAAAAACAGTTTCTGGGAAACTTTTCGACAGATGGTGGACAACACAGGGTCTCGAGACGTGGGAATTGACAAAAGACTATCGAATTAACAACACAGTGTCGCGAGGGCCGAAGGTTGGCGAAAGACTGTGTGAAAGACTTATAACACAGGGTCGTGAGAGATGAAGGTTGGCGAAAGACTTACAACACAGTGTCGCGAGGGCCGAAGGTTGGCGAAAGACTATGTGAAAGACTTATAACACAGGGTCGCGAGGGCCGAAGGTTGGCGGAAGACTATACGAAAGACCTACAACACAGGGTCGTGAGAGATGACGGCTGATTAAGGGAAAGATTAATGTTGGTAATAATGATCATCCTTAGGAAATATTGTATTTGTTCTGTGTAAACTGACATGATGGGTTCGTTGTTACATGGACTGTGATAGGCTCAGTCGGTTGTATATATAAACACAAGTAAAGATCCTAAGTGTGTGATTTTACGCTCCCTACCCATGGCAGTTTGTTTTTCGCATGAATCCGAGAAGAGGTCCAGTCATGTCTGTTCACTGTGCCATAAACACGGAAACGTCTTATTATGCACTATTCTGAGTCACATTTTGTGAGCATGACATTACTGGGGTGACCTGGTTTTAAATCGTACGTGTTATGTGTCGTTGATGAAGCAAAAGACACTCTGGACCTACTCTATACCTCTTACCAGCCCTGTCCACCAATAATACGTCCTCATTAAAGTATTCTCTCTTTCAAGTAGTTCTTGTCTGTGTCATGATATCGTGTTAATCTCTACTGAAAGCAGTTGTTACGAACGCAGAAAACTAGATTTGTATACGTAGTAAGCAGTCCCATGCTTGTCATTTTCAATTTTCTTCTTGTTATATGGGCAAGTAACTGTTTACTTAACTCTAGCAATGTTCCTACGCTGTTGGCAGTTCATGTACTGATAATACTCAACTGACCTCGAAATGCAATACGATGACATATGGTAATAATTTCTGTTGTCGCATTGTTAATAGTATTTGTTGATTTAAACGGTGATTATATTCAGTTTGATTGGTAACTTTAAAGGGTATCCATGTTCAGTTTGATTGGTAACTTTAAAGGGTATCCATGTCAGTTTGATTGGTAACTTTAAAGGGTATCCATATTCAGCTTTATTGGTAACTTTAAAGGGTATCCATATTCAGTTTTATTGGTAACTTTAAAGGGTATCCATATTCAGTTTGATTGGTAACTTTAAAGGGTATCCATATTCAGTTTTATTGGTAACTTTAAAGGGTATCCATGTTCAGTTTGATTGGTAACTTTAAAGGGTATCCATATTCAGTTTTATTGGTAACCTTAAAGGGTATCCATATTCAGTTTTATTGGTAACTTTAAAGGGTATCCATATTCAGTTTTATTGGTAACCTTAAAGGGTATCCATATTCAGTTTTATTGGTAACTTTAAAGGGTATCCATATTCAGTTTTATTGGTAACTTTAAAGGGTATCC